ATATCTCTGTTCCAGCTGCTGATCTTTTTTTTTTTTTTTTTTACTTCAGGTGAATATTGTTTCATTTAGATTAGGTTTATTTTCTTATTCGGTATATATATTTTTTATTTGCAGGATGTTTCATCTTTTTGTTCGATAGGTGATTCTCGTTTCAGTAAGATTGTATTTGTTTACAGCAAAGTCATCCTTGTTTTAAAAGCGTGTCTTTGTTTCAGGGAAATATCCTTGTTTTAACTGATTATTCTTGTTCCAAAAAAGTGTTTTTTTATCAGGATGTTTATGTTTCACGGAGTGTCTTTGTTCCAACAGAATATCTTTGTTTCAGCTAGATGTATTTGTTTCAGCTGAATATTTTTGTTTCAGCAAGATGTATTTGTTTCAGCAGAATACCCTAGGTGTTTCAGCATTCTCTCAGCAAAGTTTCAATGTAATGTCTCGTAAATCGTTACTGATTCGCAACAACAGGTCGAAACTCACATGAATCAGATCATTTTGAGTTCGAATCACGCGAAATATTTCACCGGATATAAATACCGAATATGCTGCTATTTCTATACGTTTGCCTTTTGTTAATGAGAGGCTGGCGTGCACGTTGCATATGATGACCTGCATTGATTCAGAAGCATAATGGAGTTTGATGCTTAGAACCTAATACCTCCGAATTTGTATCTTTGTTTTAATGGGTATAATGACAATGGTAAATGTATCCGCGTTGTTATAGTATATACTAAATGATATCGAGTGTTGTAGAGGGAGCGTAGCAAACGGTCCGGGAAATCGGAAAATAATGTATGAAAGTCGGTCCATAAAATTTATTCTGGTTAAAAGTTTTTTTTTTTTTTTTTTTTTTTTTTTTTTTTTGCTAATAATAATTTCTATCCTCTACTTCACATAAAAAGACAACTGGGGAGAAAAAATATCAACAACGAATAGAAATTGAGAGAAAACGAAACAAAAACAAAAGAACGACGAGGAAAAAAAAGAAAGTGAATAACGAAAAGCTCAGTCGGAGTGTCGTACCTGGGAAAGAAAAAAAATGAAATAATATCGACAACGAATAATAACTGAAACCAAGAAAACGAAGCAAAAAACAAAAGTACGACGAGAAAAAAAGAAAGTGAATAACGAAAAGCACAGTCGAAGTGTACCTAGGATAAGAAAAAAAAAGAAATAATATCAGCAACGAATAAAAAATTGAAACCAAGAAAACGAAGCAAAAAACAAAAGAGTAACGAAAGAAAAAAAAGTGAATAACGAAAAGCGCAGTCGGAGTGTCGTACCCAGTATAAAAAAAATAATAATAATATCAACAACGAATAAAAAACCGAAACCAAGAAAACGAAACAAAAAACAAAAGAGTAACGAGAGAAAAAAAAAAAGTGAATAACGAAAAGCGCAGTCGGAGTGTCGTACCCAGGATGGCCGCTGATCGCAACTTCCCTCGGTCATTAACGGCTAATTACTCTATTTCTGCTTCTTTTATCTTGATGAGATCCCTTTGGTCATCGTAATTTTATCTCATTCTCTATTCGTAATTTTATCTCATTCTCTATTCGTCATTTTATCTCATTCTCTATTCGGTCCCGTTGAAGATTTACGGAGAGGAATAAAGATGGTGAGAAAGAATAAGGAAGAAGGGAGAGATTGGATGAAGAAGGAGGGGAGGGAAGAAAGAGAAAAAGAAAATATATGGAGATAGATAGATAGATAGATAGATAGAGAGAGAGAGAGAGAGAGAGAGAGAGAGAGAGAGAGAGAGAGAGAGAGAGAGGGACAGACAGATACACAGACAGATACATACACAAGACAGACAAGCCAGACAGAAACACATAAAGACAGACGAACAGACAGACAGACAGAGGAGAGAGAGAGCGAGATAGATAGATAGATAGATAGAGAGAAAGAGAGAGAGAGAGAGAGAAGCACACACACACACACACAGAGGAAGGGACCCACCTGTCTCCTTCCCCCTCCCCCTTCCCTTCCCCCTTCCCCCTGCCCTTCTCCCCTCTTCCCCCCTTCACCCCCCTCCCCCTCCCCCCTCCCCCCCTTCACCCCAACCCAACCCTCACTCTAATGCCTAAACTTGTCTACAGATTAGTTCCACATCACAGGGAGCAACACCTGAGTCCCTACTATACGCTTGCCTACGTGTCTGTCTGTCTGTCTGTCTGTCTGTATGTAACCTTGTTCGTGTGTGTGTCTGTCTGTCTGTAACCTTGTTCGTGTGTGTGCCTACGTGTCTGTGTGTCTGTCTGTATGTAACCTTGTTCGTGTGTGTGCCTATGTGTCTGTCTGTCTGTATGTATGTAACCTTGTTCGTGTGTGTGCCTACGTGTTTGTCTGTCTGTCTGTATGTATGTAACCTTGTTCGTGTGTGTGCCTACGTGTCTGTCTGTCTGTCTGTCTGTATGTAACCTTGTTCGTGTGTGTGCCTACGTGTCTGTCTGTCTGTATGTATGTAACCTTGTTCGTGTGTGTGTCTACGTGTCTGTCTGTC